AATATCTTTATAATTTAATATTTACAATGTAATCTTTGTAGATCTCAATTGTCAAGTAACATGAAAAATATTGCTGCTATCTAACAAACGAGAAACATGCTACAGTATTATTTTATTATTTACCTTCAGAAAAATTATTAATTATTGCAACCACCACAAATATATGTAAGAGTTGTTATATTGTCAAGACAATTTTTATTTGATAAACCACATTTTAATTTCAGTTAAACTTCTTAATCTTTACTTATTGTAACAATTATTTTCTTAGCACTTTTTCGTTGAATTCTTAACTTTTAACTTTTAATTAATTAGTACGCCTCATCCTTGATAATGATTTATATAAATATATTTTTTTTTTATACTTTGAAACGAGGGAAACATATTTTTCACCTTTTTTTATTTATTTTTCAAAAATATAATGAAAAATAAGTTGTTTTACGCTATTTTAACGGATATTTGGACATAAAATGTTATCAAATACAAAATGTGTTAACTAATGAAAAATTTGAAAAAAAAAAAAAAAGAGACATGAAAAAATCGTGAGGGACATTTACAATGAGCAAATATTAAGATTTGCAATTAAAATGTAGTGTAAAAAATAAAAATTGTGTTGTATATGTGTGTGTATATATATATATATAATTACACTAAATTGTCAATAATACCCTTGAACCTATATCAAATCAGACTTCCGACAATGGATAAGGACGAGGAATAGGTACATACTTGTCATTTCACAAGACAAATAATATATTATTTTGAAAAATACTCTTGACTATAAATAGAAAAAGCAAAAAAGAAACTCATCTTCTTCCCTGCTGCTTGCTTCATCATCTCTATTTCAAGATTCCTCAGATTTGTCCTAATTAATTAAATACAAAATAAAAATAAAAAATCCCTTATCCAAAATTCTATTAGCCTCTAGAAAATTTCTCTGTCAATTTGTTTCCCTTGTATACAATAATTCCCAGAAATTCAATCCCATTATCCAGTTATTTCAGCTTCATGGATATATACAAATGTTCTAAAATGCGTAATGCGTTGCGATGCATTGAGGTCGAGAATCAAGAATCACAAGTTTAGGCGTGTCAATGCGAATAATAA